GACATCCCGAATCCTCGACAACGCGTAACCTGCTTGCGGATACCCATTCCTTGACTCCTTGACCGTCCGTGAATTCGAATTACGTCGATTTATTCTCCCCGCCTTCTTGATCGTTGGATTTTTCTCCACGTTAAATGTATTAGTATCTATCTTCCTGGTTTTCTCGTGTTCGGGTTTGAGAATTGTGTGGTTAGGGTTCAATGACCAGTAAACTTGCTGTAATTCCTTATGTGTCCTTTAGATATGGTGGGATTGTCCTTCTGATTTATCTCAATCATAGTTTTTAGTCGATTTATGTGGGCAGACATTCTTTTAATGGTGGTCATTCCGTATTTTTTCTATAGTTTTCACGCGCAGTTTGTCACAGCTATTATAGAAGCATTTTGTACTCATTTGACTTCGAGAGTCCTTGGGTTGTCGCCACTCAGGTAAGTGGGCTTTGTAAACCTGAGTTTTTTTCTTTTCGCAAATTTATGTCGCTACTCGTATTGGTGGCTAAAGATCAATCAAGTGCGAACAGATAACACTAAAGTAAACCATAGTAACACTGACTTACTACGTCCACGTATTTAATCGTAAGATGAGTGATGACAGAATAAACTCATTAGCTTTTGGTTTGTGGTATCGAGTAACTTTTGGTACTCTCCTCTACTTAAGCTGTTAGTGCTGGTGCTCGATTCAAGTTTGTAGTTAACCTACCTAGTAGCACCACATTTTTGTGTATAAATTGAGTTCGAAATCTCGTTTTCAAGTTCGATCTTGATGTGGTTCAGCCAAGTATGTGGGATGTTCGAATGTTAAATAATTCCTATCATTAACGAGTGGCAGTTAATATATCAACGGAATTGGCAAATGCTGAGATGAACCATTCCCGCCACTGGTTCTCAGAAGAAGAACAAGAAGGATTATATCAGCAGGGTAGAATTATGTATCTAATTGTAAAACTAAACCATAGTCATATCAATTTACCCTCAATAATCATATGTCACATAAAGCAAGCCTATGAAGATGCCACAAACATTTGTAGTTTGACAACACTTAAACCAGTGTCACCCTCTCTAATTGAATCGTCCACATTCAGTGAAATCAAAAGTCAGAAGCTAGGAGTTGTGAAGATGTATTCGATAGGTTATTAATAAATCGAGAAGTGACTGATCTAAAATGGCTAGCGGCTGCAGGAGAAGTTGCTAATGGCGATCTTATTTGTTATCTGGTGCGTATGCGTGACCGAGCGCCTTCAGCTAGGTGAGTCCATTAAAGCTAATGTGGTCCGAATCAAATATCGAAGGCCTACAGAGCTATTGATCTTAGAGATTTATTTACCGCTGCAACTGCTTATACCTTGGTGAATATAACTACAATTTTCAGTCGAACACTCTGAGTTGGAAATGGAATTGAAAATTTTCCAGAATGAACATCAAATTTTAACTTTCAAGAGACTCGTTATTTTATGAATTTTGTGATTGGTTCACACCTTGCAACATAACGAAATATTTGAAACTTTATTAACTAACCATTGCAGCTAGATGCGTTGAATAACTCGTTTTGAAGATATCTTCCAGACAGAATATTTTGAGCAGACGAATTGAGGATAGAGCACTACCTTTGATATAGTGGAGAACTACCTTTAAGTCGTCTGTTTGTCCACTGCAGCTTAATATTTATGTATGAAGTTAATGTATTGGCACAGTTTCAAAATGCACGTTTGGAAGTTACTGTGAAGATATGGAGTATACTTCTTGGTCTTCCATAAATTTTAGTCTCACACATTAACCTTTTCCCGGTCTTTTTACTTTCTTCAGTTACTGTGAGATATTTAAAGAACTTGTTTGGGTTTTTGTACCTATGCCTATTATTTTCAACTTGTTACCTAGTAACACTTCGTAGCATGTGATTATAATCATCTCTGTATGAACAGGTTATTTCGTTCACAATCAAGTGGTTTTTGTAAATTATTCTGTTCAGTATGCATTGCGATTCCTTTGATAATGTTTGCAGCGATGTCTTTGGCAAGTTTTCTTAATTATACCATCACACCATGTTTATTAATAAAATGTCATTAGAAGGAACGTTTTAATTCGCCGTTAAAACTCAATTTCTTGAACTGAGTGCCTGATACAAAGATTTTCTTTCATCCAGTTGAAATGTAAACAAGTCCAGAACTTGTGTGGCAGCCACCAATAGTTATCAATTACTAAAACTAACAGCAATAATCAAAATCATTAATTGTCTCAATGGTATCGTTTCATCAAGTTTCCAGGGTATAACTCAGAATATTTGTATCTATGAAGTGGTTTGGTCCATTAATGAAGTCCGATGAAAAGTGACATGATTTTTATTTGTTTTAGACACGTGAACACTGGTACAAGAAGGCAACAAGTACATATGTGTGAGGGCTAGAATAGCGATCTGGCACCCAATCCGAAACAGGTGGTTTTCTAAGCGTGCCACTCCTCGAGCCGCTGACCTACGGGTCTAACCCACAAGACAGTGGATCAACGTTATGAGATGCAGTGACACGATAGTCGATTGCGAACAATAGGTTCATACGCCCTTTGTTCCCTCGGGTTCCTAGAGCCCATGTGCACCACCGATTTCGAATCAGGGTTTTTCAACTTCTCTAGGTTAATCTTCTGTATCCACCAACCCGGTTAAAGCGCCGGACACTTGCTTATCAGCAGTGTTTACTCACTGAATATTTCCTCTTTAAAACGTGGTTAACTTTAAAGTCGAACAGCGTAAAAACCTGTATAAATCAAACTTTGACAACTTGGATTCGCTAGTGTCCGTTTTAGAGAAAATTTATTTTTGTGTACTTAACGTTTGTATGGATTCGTTTAGATTGGAGCAAATAGATAAATGTTTGTGTTTTATACACCTAAATAGCTCCTGATGACATTTGTTTGTGTGCTAAAACGTTACTGAAAACTTCGTTTTCAGAAGTTGTCCGTCGTTAAAATCTGGAACTGCAATCTTACGTTGTGCACATACCTAGACGAAAAATAGAAGTAATCCTCTGGTCATGGAACTGACATAATGTTAATCAGCAAGACCAGTGACTGTCGTTGTTATAATTAAAAGATGTTTTGTTATCACATCGTTAATATCGTTGTTCTGAAATTCGGTCTGTCTTTGCTGATATTTTACTGCTAGCCATAATTCATCTATCCCATGGATAACAATTAAGTTGTTTACTTATAAAGACTTTTAAAATGATTAAATGAAGCTTTCAGAATTTCGAATCTCATCCAATACAGTCTGTAAATGACAATTTAAAAACAACCGTCTTTGCACACTAGCAATTTGAAAGTGTTGTAATTGCATTTGCAAAACTGTGGGTTGTAACCAGCCTCCGAGCATCAATGTTTATGTAATTATTACTAGCAAGTATACTAGATCTCAGTTCTGTCTACTGTTTTTTTAAACAGAGATTCATTTCATTATCTGAAGTTGTACTTATTCTTGGTTACACTAGTTTTCTTCAATCAAGCAATATCATCTCCTATAGAATAAAAATGAAGTAAATGGAGGGGATAAAGAGAAAATTTGTCTTGATTATTTGAATCAACCTTGGTTTGTACTGATTCACATGGATTCAACATGGCTTAGCTACAATCAGTTATTCCTAACTACTTATATTTATATGCATCTCTCTATTTATTTCTACAACTAAGCAGTGTTTATAAATAAAAATCTGAATATTTGAGATATGTGATGTTGAACATTATGATTTGCTTACATTTTATAGTACATATATTTATTGGGATGCCTTAAATTTTCATTTGTTTAGTTGCTAAGAGAGATAAATAGTTTGTAATTTTGCTTATTGTATCCCTTCATAACTGTAAAATAACTATATTTAAATGGTTAAATTCACAAACATTTATCATGGATGCGCACTGTTGAGGAGTTTCACAATAAGACGAAATAGCCGTCCAATGCTTCCACGTTTTCCATGGTGGTCTAGCTTTAATTAACTCATGATCTCAACCATTAAAATTGCTATAATATCCACAAAACCCCTCTGATATTAACATTATAAGTTTACCATGGATTCTTCATGCAAAGTATTTGAAATTAGTCATCAAAAAAGAAGTCTTCTTGAACGAGTTTGTTCTCTGGTTAGTACTTGTTATCAGAACATACTTGCAATTTTGATAGAACTGATACTTTCTGATAGATTGAAACCTGAGTTATTGATTTAATAGTTTGAAATGTTACTATTGAGATGTTTGAGCTCGGAAGTCATTTATTACTTGAACTATGAGTTTTGTTTCTATGAGTTTACGTTTTCTCACTATTACTATTTAATATCTTCAGACATTTTTTCATCAATCAGGGCGGTCGAGACATTTGTTACGTGTGCCTAACGTTCATCCATCTTGGTGGAAAGTGAAAGCTCGTTTAGGAATAACTTGCAAGAAAGTTAGGGGTACTCAAACTAAAATGTGGTATCAGTCCACCAAGTTATTGGCTGTTGGCCTGAGCCATATGTGTTGGTGCAGATTACCTGGTTGATGTCCGCGGTTGGTGACGTCGTTTGACGTGGCTAATAACCGACCACGATGGCACATAGACATTCACACTGTCCTCCTCTAGATCTGGAGTTTCATTATTCCGTCGTACATTGACCATTCATTCTGTCTTTTCGTACCATGGTTTCAGTGTTTAGTCTTTTCATTATCATTACCACTACAGTTATTTCCACTCCTTTGCTATTCGTCTCGATTTGCCAATGTGATATGGTAACTAGGGCGAACGAGCGTTTGTGCCAGGCTTTAAATTGACTGTTCCTGATTGACTGTCGGACTATTGGTTTTATTATTATCATTATATTCCCATTTTACAAATGTTGTATCTTTTTCTAAATAGCTCTTGTAACACGAATATCTAATGGAAATCATGTGGATCCTGAACAGATTGGTGGTTATTTAATCAGCTTAGATTATAATGAAATAGTAAAAAGTGATTCAAAATGAAGAAGTTGCTTAGCTGAGGCAATGTGTAATCCCAAATCAAATCATTTACCGCATCAGTTCTATTTACCGGCGCCGAAAATTGCAGCAACCAAATATTCAATTGATGATGATGATGATGATTCATTTAGCAGCTACGGTGAAAGTGGTCATCGTGAAAATAATCATGATCGTCTACTGAACAAAGGCAATTTGGCTACATTTATATTACGGATAAAAGATATAGGTTTGACTAAATCAACCACAACTATGAGTGAGTTATTTGGTTTTCAACTTTCATTCGTTTTATTCATTCAAATCATGTTTGTTGCGCAAGATTATCACAAGCAACGTAGAACTTAGCACAAGCGTGTATCGGTTCAGCTCACCAGATCATATCAACACAACAAGATGAAATTATCAAGAGAAATCCCATCTCTGTCTCCACTGATTCTGAGCCATTTTAACAATGTCTCCAGACATTGCTCACGTTACTCACTCTTATCTCAACCAGGCAGTCTACGCTCATCAACATAGCTCAAACTATAAATATGGTATAGGGAAAAGTCAAGCAAAATTGAGAACATGACTTGTAGATTTTTGTGCAAAATTCATTTATCACGTATCACTAATATGAGACATACTTTTGTATTCGTTTAAACTCATAACGAAATATCAATTGTTGCCACAGTGTTGCATGTATTCTATAATTAGTTTTTCCTTTGTGTATTGTAAATAAGGAGGTAACCAACACTGTCCTTACATTCTAATCTTAAACCTTTAATGCTGAAACAAACATTCACTTATTGGCACTATAACTAATGGCTTCTTGGATGAGTGGAATCCTGTCATCCATATTTCTGTCGAGGGAATGTTTTGTATTATATCTGATGCAAACTTGTGACTGCCAGTCCTAACCATAAATATCTTACCCTAATCATAAATAATGTAGAGGTTTTTGAGTCATTTGTTGTATTTCGAAAGATAGATACTTTATATCCACAAGGATGGATGTATATGTCAGTCAGTCAGTCAGCTACAACGTAGGACCAGGCACATATGTGCATCGGTCCAGGTTGCCATACCTCATTAGCACAACAAGATGAACACCGGATTCATATAAGTGGTTAGGTCAAAGGTTGCAATAAGGATATAGTATAGGAAGGAATAATTAGTTCGTAGAAAGAAAGATATGAAGTGATTTTAATCTCTTAGTTTAAGGAAGACAGGGAGTGTATACACCGACGCCATTGTGATCGATTCTGAGCCATGTCACCAAGAGTCTCCAACCATTGGTTACGAAAGTCACGCGGACCCCAACCAAGTCACTAACTTCTAGTCTTAGCCATGTTGGATGTATATGACTTTGACTTTTCAAATTATAGAGTAAATAGTAATTTGTCTACACTTTCTCGTGCTATTGTTTTCTTTACCATAACCTATCCATTTCCAAAAGCTGCTTTCTGATTAACTAGTAACTAGCTGAAATTTCATCACAGTTGTTATAACTTCATTCATTATCGACGAAAGCTAAGAAAGAGGATAGAGAGTGTTCTGTGTTGTTTATCGAATGCATTCCACTACATTTTCAATTAGTTTCATAATCAGGATATTGTTTTGATCATGCTTAACGTATCGATATAACCTTTTTGTTCTGCTTGATTATTTAGCGTGAATTTGTCCTTAGAACATTTTAAAGTTTGTTCTTAACATGAATGTGGAGATCAGTTACACGTTGGATAACTGAATTGTAATATTTCTGACTGTGATATTGAGTGACGTGGATTAAAATCGTATGGGAAACTTGGGTTACCTCAAGAGTGTATATGTCATATCTTGCCATTTAATGCTAACTGATATGAAACAAGTTGAACAAATCTTCCCATTGACTTCCTCCAACCATTTGACATGGTGGATGTAGACTGTCTGGTTGGTGTTTGCACGATTATCATAACCAATGGTCAATGACATTGGATAATATGATTCAGAATCCGTTACAATAGTAGAGATATATTAATTCGTTGTCTTCCTTTAGTTATGAAGCTTTAAAGTTGTCTTTTATTTTTTACTCCTACAAATTCATTCTTTCGTTTTTAACTACATTCTATGCCCAATGTTTCCTGCTACCACAGATGTGCTTACTACGTCCGCTACCATGGGTTTATCACATATTTTCATCTTGCCATGATAATTTGGTGTGCCGATTTGAATATATATATGTGTATATTGGTTTGCTCCTCCGATTTCAACTAATTTATGATCTTGTACAATCATCATACATTATCATTGATAAAGAAATTTGAGTTTTTAATTGAGATCATAAGCTGACCAATCTTAGAGTTTAGGCGTTTGCGCACAAAACCAAAGGTCCTGGGCTCGAGACCCGCATGCAAGATCGTGGATACCCACTTCTGAAGAGTCTCATTCTAGGACGAAACAACCGTCCAATGCTTCCAGGTTTTCGATTGTAGTCTGACACTGACTGGTTCATGTTCTCACCTAAATACATTTTATCTGGTTTTGTTAAACATCACTAGAAATGACTTCTTATCACAGCTTTTTGAAGATCGTCCTTCATCTGGTTTTAATAATTACTTAACTATAAAATCAGTTGGTGATGTAAACTGAAAGTTGTACATTCTCCACAAATCATTTATTGCTAATAATAGTCATACTAATACAAATAGTAATACTTCTAAATGCCCTGGTATGGCCAATGTTCATTCTTCTTCTTCTTCTTCTTAACAAACCAATTTTACATTGGAATTACGTCATAGTTTAAGACTATCACTTGTTCAACACCTCTTTTATTATCGAATTTAGAGTGCTGGCATTTCAAGTTAATATTTATATTGATGACGACTGTAGTTGAAAGGAATTTAGACAAGCAGAATATGAATAGCGGACTATACAACGGAGTGCTTACTGTATACTTTTAGTGATCTAAACACAAATCAATTGTATACGATCCAGAAAAGTTTAACCGGCATTGAATGAACGTTAATGAAAGAGAAGATTGGACTTTTGACAATAAAACTTCCAATGTCTTTTTAAAATGTGAAGATGAATTACTATAATATCCAGAAAAAACCCCTTTTGATATTAATCAACATATGATCACTAGTAACTGGAGTTCTAGTGAGAAGCAGTGACCAGTGTAGTTCAACCGGGTCTGTTGTGCGATAGTAACTCATTGAAGACAATGGTGGATGTCTCGCTCAATTTCGTGGATTGGTTGAAGTTAGACATTAACACCGTTGGATGCCTGTTCAGTGGTTTAGTTGGATAAGCACCTGGCGCGAGAGTGATAGTTCCTGAGTTCGAGTCCCACGGAGCGGAGTCGTGGATGCGCACTACTAAGTGGTCCTACAATAGGACGAAAAATGTTCGTAACTATAATTTGTTATTGACAGTGAAGTTTACTAAATTTTTAAGCGACCATTCAGATAAAGTTAAGATTATCATAGGGAATGTAGATCTTAGAAACGCGATCAGCTTATAGCTATTCAAATATAAGAATTCATATTTTAAATGAAGAATATGAAATTTAGGGAACAGACTAACAATCTCTAGGACAATTAGTAACTCACAGGTTATTGTCAACTACTATCACAACCCGATTTTGCAATTATCTTGATAAGTTACTCGTTAAATTATTGAATGTAACTTTGAAAATGATTCAGTTTTAGCTCACAAATTCCTGATTCATTATTCTTATGTAGAGATAAGAATCAGGACTTTCGATTTTACATAACTCATTATCAGTAGTTCGTTTTTTTAATAGATTTTGATTCATTTGATCACTAAATTGTTCCAGAATTTTCCTATCGTCATACTACGCCTTATTTAGTATTCCCGCCCTTCCATTTCTCTATTCCTAAAATATACATATAAGCGAGTTGGTTTTCTACAAGATGGGGTTCGCTAACCTCATGCCCAACCCTCCTCCTTTGCCCGGACTTGGGATCAGCAGTAGCCCAGGGGGGTTCCCGTAGGAGTTATAGATATAAACTGATCCACCTAAAATGTTTTCTTTTTTATCATTTACTTGTAAACTAATCACATCTGTATATTCAATCGACATTATTAAACTTTCAAATAATTCAGTTCAGCTTTTTCAGTGAATCTCCAATCATACTCTTCTGTCTTCAGCTGTTATAAAGTGATCAATGTCAATTATATACCATCTTACAATTATTAACAAGAATCATAGATTTGTATTATCTTAATGGGTAGAAAAATGGTATTTTTTTGGCGTTTTATGACTCAGTGTAAGTCGCTTCTTCAGAGAATAAATAACCACAATAAATGAACTTAAGTATACTTAATATAAAGGAACAAAGTAAGACTATTGAGTGCAATTAATCAGAAAAGAAGTCTGACCAAGTCAATGTTATCTGATTTATATGAGACATGTTTGTGTAGTTGTATGTGTTTATGTTAATGAATGAAATATGTGCGGGCAGCATGGAGTTGAATTTGTATGTAGGATAATAGTGTGAAGTGTAAATAAAATCAAACATGGTAGCTTGGATAAGTTGGATGGATGGTAAGGTCGTGTATTCTATTGAGGGAAGTATGAATAAATCAAGTAAAATCTTGATAATGATATTATTAGTTAAATGAACAAGATAAAATGTCGTTATCCAACTCAACTGTTCAAAAAGATGTGGGAACAAATTCACACTGGGAAATCTAAAGTTCTTTATGTTTGAGAGCTTCAACCTGAAACGAAACATCTGTGAAGTGCTTCCTAATTTTCAGTCGTTTCTCTTCTCCCTAAATGATTATGGATTAGTAACAATGATCATCTTTAAATGATAAAATGTTTCTCTTACTCAAAGTATATATACAAATATATTTGTTGATATCGGATTACTTTGTTTTTACATCGAACGCATTCTTTATGTTTGGATTAAATTTCAATGTAAAATTAATGTAATGAACCTAGTTTGACATCATTACTTACGTTTGTTAACCCTCGTGGAGGAGCTTAGGCCACACTAACAGAACTCTCCTTGGGACTCTGTACTGAGAAATTACTTCCAGTTACTATTGATTCGTTTGATGTTTGCTTCTGATCCTCAATTTCATTGCAAATTAGCACATGCCTCGCGATTCAGTTTTATGATTTCCGCAATACATGTCTTATCCAGCGTCTTTTCCTAATTTCCTCTTCATTTAGAAGCTAGTTTGTTCTCTCGCACAGTTGGCTGTTGCTGATGATATACGGCCAACGGACATTCAGTATGTTACGTAACTAATTGTTTATAAATACGTGTGGATTTTTGATGGTGGTTGTTATAGTTCTTGAGGTTTCAGCTGCATACAGTAGAACTGTCTTGATGTTCGTATTGATAAACCAGAAAAACGTCATCGTATGATATCAAAATATGAGTAGAGGCTGTCAAATGTAACTGTTTAATTTATTTAATTCAGTTGATGAAAATATGAAAACTGTCAGTATTAATCAATGCTATTGACAATAAAACGTTATTACACAATATTCGAATGCACTGAACGAACACTTTGTGGGGATAACCAATTTATCATATAACGTCAAATATCACAATGCTTTCGTAAAATTAAGTCCTTTATTTGCAAGTCTCCTTTCAGTTGTCGTGCACATACTTCTTCATTCTTCATATTCGACTGTCGTTGTAATTCCTCACCGTTTCCTTTTCTGTTTTTCGTAATTCAATCTGAAACGTTTGCTAACAGGCACACTATTTCATTTTGGTGTTGCATACTACTTATATCTGTCAAAATAAGCTGCGTACATCACGCGTTTTTCCGTTTTTTAATGGTTGAATTAATCAAGTGTGATTTAAATGGATTGATATAAACCTCATAACACCATACAATTCATCACATTTTACGTTGTTTGTACTTTTGTTCCTTTACATTATTGTAGATGAAATTTCATCAGCTTTCGCTTCGTCATCATCCTCATCTATTTTATCATTGTCATCGTTTAGATCTGTATTGTCAAATAATAATAATTTTAATATTAGCTACTGGATCAGCATTCTCATCAAATCCTGGAATTGTATGTAGTCATGATTATTTATTAGTGGATGATCGTATACCTAATGTTTATGACGGTATAATTAACAATATACCAATAATTCGTTTTTGTTTAATCAATAATTCCACATTGAAAACAATCGCCACAAAGACAAAAACAAAATTACCAGAAGTAGAAATGATCAATTCATCATTATCTTCTCCTTCTTCGATCTCCTCTGGATCCTTTTCATTGAATTCAATAGATTATAATAAATTATATGCACCAGATGAATCATATTTAGTTGGGCAAATTTATGATCCAATCAGTAATGTATACGGTTTACAGTTTACATCAAATTGAAATTTATTAGATCCATATATTATTCATGGAAAAGGCATAGTGTTAGAATATATTGGTAAGCATTAGTTTGTTTTTTGTTTATTACAGTGATTGTTTAAATGTTTATGTTATACACATGATGGACTGATTGTAGACAGATAATAATTGAAAATGAGGAAACATTAAATGGCTCTTTCATTCATTGTAGCATTGAACTGTTCAGTATTTTACACTGATGAACCATTCAAAGAATTTCAGACTTGATGGCGAGACATCAATCCTTATACTAACCAGTTGGGACCTAATGGTTGATGCTTGTGAAGACAGTCAGTCAGTCAGTCAACTTACAGCATTACGAAATCATTATCTAGTGATATTGATGTGTAGTTGCCTCAGACCCGATATAACTGAACTACATTGATCATAACCTGTTACTAGAACTCTAGGCATTACTTCTCGAAATTACTCATTACTGAGGCTTGCTGCGAGCTGACTCAAGTTAAAAACGTAAACCTGATGTGTAGCTGATAAAATTACTGATTGATTGTTTACCTAGTCAAACTAGTAGATGGTCTGACAAGTATGAGATGTGTCACATGTTTTCTATCACATTATTATTTCTTATTGTTTGTTATTGTCGTTGAAACATTCGCACGTTCTAGTGTGATCAGTCACATGTTCGTGAGCAAAATTGTTTTGAAGTGCTGTAGAATGGACACTGGCACGGTATCGTGTATAGATGCTCGTCTCATTCGTGTAAAGAAGAAATTCCAGCGTCATTTCAAAACGATCGTTCTTGACTCAGTGATCGAAAGCTTATAGAGAGGCTGTTAGGTGTTTTGTTTTTGAACTTGATCTATGTTAGGCTTGTGGATTTACACTATTCAGAAGTCTTATATTAAAGACGAAACAGTTGTTTTGTTACAGTAACTTCATGATATCAACTACAATATATAACTGTTTATGTCATTGTGTTTTATGAATATGTCATAAATGTTTTACGAAGTATCGTATATCAGAGTAAAGTTTAATAAAGATCGAGTTTAAAACAACTCTGTTCGTCTTGATATCTTGTATTAATTTCCACAATGAGAATTTCCGAAATTTTTGCGTTGAAATTAGTTTAATGATTATCAAAAATCAAGATACATTGAAACAAATGTATCCATGATCTTCAAGTCTCATCAGTGAAAATGACACCATCTAACCATTGAATAATTTCGAATTTCGTCACCGATTGATGATGAATTGAAATGACGAAATCTTTAGGGATAATGAATTAAACTTCTATATGTAGTGCTCGTTGATTTACTGTTAGACAACAACAAGAAAATAACCGTAAATGTTGAATGCATTACAATGACTGAATATTGAAACTATTCTAGATCAACTCAAGTATAACACAGTCCTTTTATGAATATGAAATGAAAACCAACTTGAAGTTGTTTGAAGAATAAAAACACATCACATTGAAACTTCAAAAATACTCAACGAAATCGTTGATTTATTGTTGATTGGTTAATTCACTGGTTTATTTATTTATTTATTTATCCAGTTAGTTATTTGTTACGACAGTGATTATTGCATGCTACTTCACCTCGCTTCACTTCACTCACCTTAACTTACCTTTCTAACTGAATACATCAATTGAGAGAAATGAAATTGATTGTCTATAGTCTCTTTCTATTATCATAAAATGATGTATGAATGAATCGAAATTTCAATATATTATAGAATTTATTTGTATTCTCAGAATTAGTAGTAGTATGTATGTAATGAATCTTTATCAACTAAGGTGATTGGGATGTTTGTTACATATACCCGATCACCACCTATCTTGACGGGGAATATTGTCTAGTTTAAGAGTTGATTTCAGTAAGCTAAAAGTGGCTAAACCAAGATGTGGCACTAGTCCATTAAGTCAGTAACAAGTGGACTGAGTCATTTAAGTAGATTGAGTTTACCGCGTTGGAGTCGGCGTGATTATCCTAAACGATGATTCGCAACTTTTGATGACAAATCAGGACCACTCACAATGGTCCATATACATTCACTCCTTTCTTGCTTTTGGACCTAACCTGTGTCACAAAATCTCTTTATACCTTATTTCTTTGCATGTACCTAATCTTTCCTACTACCACAAATGTTATTACTACTGTTAGTAATCTGGAATTTGCCTCGATAATTTTATCTCTCCTTGCTAATAAGACATGACAACTTGAGCTGACATACCTATGTATCAGATTCTACGTTGCACATGACTAGAACTATGTATGAGGAAGCCATTAGGCAGAATTTGATAGTAGAGATAGAGGAAAAATATTAAAAAGAGATGAAGTTCTTTTAATACAGACAAGGTTTTTTTGAATGCTGCTAGAGTTATGTGAACAGTTGATATTTCCCAGTTACCTACATTGAGGAAAGATAGTTTTTTTGAGGTATCTGAAAAGAATATTGGATAGGTAGTGATTTTGCCGACCTGGAAGGGTGACCGCTGACCCCAAGAGACAAATGTTTAAAGCCGATCAAACTGCTATTTTTCTGAGCGTTGTTAGTGTGTTAGCTCGGCACTTCATATTTTTATTTACCCATAATTATTTTCTTTGAGTTTGGTGGTATTTATAAGCGGAATTCAGGATACTCGTTTTAACAATGGGAAGATACAAACCCTTTTAAATAAAATTTTTAACCATTGTACATGTAAGCGGCTATTTGACGTTTGTAGCTCATCGGAGTTAATGCGTTGGGCGTTTGAAGTGAACAGTGTGAACATGAATATTAGAAGGTATTGGGTATACATTCAACTGACGAGTCCCAAATAAAGCGAAATTCTCTTCTTGGATTTCATTGTTACACACTATCCATCTTTATTAAAATACTTTAGTGGAGAAAATAGTTTTTAGCATAGTTTAGATAAGATTTCTTCTAAATCATGGTCACGACCAAGGTAGATATTTGTTAGCGGGATATACATTGGATTAAAGCATGTTGCGTGTAGGATTGTGTTGAAGCACGCTGAATGGCCGTTTCCTAGACAACCAACCTTTTCGGAGACTTGGAGAAGACAAGGATCTTCTCATATAGAGATTACAAATATACGAACGTGTTTTATGTTATGATACCCTTCTTCTATGCAACACTATTTTTTGGAATATAATTACGTTCTTATTCAACCATGTTCTAATTTTGGGGCTTGGTGAGTGAAATAGTGTTCAAGAATACTAGGCAATCGGAGTAGCTGGTTCGTCAATAAAAGGAATTATAACAGTATCTCACTTTGTCTAGAAACTAGTTAAGAAACATTTTGAAATTTGAAATATCACTTTAACATGTATAATTATTCCTTTTTTATCAACTTCTTTTATAGCTCTGTCATGTGTTGCCATCAATCCACCAAGTGGTAATGGAGTGGTTGACTATCGGTTCCGTGTAAATCAGCAAACCTCTCATATCTTCGCTTATGCTGAAGTATTCTGTCTATCTGATCGTTGATTAGAACCAATGGATCTAGACCTAGATGAAATCAATCCATCACAATCATCCTCGTCGTTTTCGTCAACAGGTAATAGATCATCACTTAATAATAACAATATTCCTAATTCATGGTGGTTACAACGTAGAAAGCTCATATAACACTGATTTGTGATAATCACGAACGTAAATGGATACCGAATGGGTTGCTAGAAGCTTGTTTCACGCGTAAGTCAATATCTTTATCATAGACATATATTGAACTGAATAGTATTACAATATTGATTTGTTAAAATATGATTAGAAATGACTGAATTGATCACATTGTCAACTTGTTCATTTGATCCCTAATAGAAAATCAAATACAGAAGGATTGAATCCCGAATGAAAAAAATATCAACAAAATAAAAATAAAAAGAAGATTTTCTCAGCAAAAATTTTGATTAGACTCTTCATGATTGTTGAATGGACTCCGTGAATATTTGAGACAACGAAAAAGAGAAAGAAAACACCATTCGTAATTTATTTCTATTTCAGTCGTATTTACAGAATATTTTTGGTGTATTTTTGGTAGTTGGTCATTTGGGATTGATGTTTCATCGTGTTTAATTCAATGATACTGATATGCTGGTTAGTATTCAAGATGGAGATAATCCACCTTTTGATTGATTTGGATCTAATTCTTGAGAAACAATCTATGTAGTTGAAAGGAGGTTACGTAGGAATTCGTTCAACGTGGAAATTGCATACATCACAGATAGGTTTTAATTAAATATATCAGTGAAAATTAGGGAGTTCCGACTAGTTGTTTGATCCTATTGTTGGGATTCTCAAGTATGTACATCTTTATGTCGTTGATCCACTGTCTTGTGGATTACACCTGTAGGTGTTAGCGGGACATAGACTGTATTAACGCATGTTCAATGCACGACTGCTTTGGTGCACGCTGATTGGTTAATTCTTGTCCAGCCAGCACTAGTCGATACTTGGAGAACACTCTAGAATCTTCTCGTGTAAAAACTATAAATATTCTAACGTTTTTCCTACTGTGCTTCTTACTTCCATGTAACCTTGTTATTTGGAATATAATCTCTTTCCTGTTCAACCGTGTTCTGATTTGGGGTCTTGTCGAGTGAATCGGTGTCCGAGAATACTAAGCAATAGAAATAGGCGGGTCATAACCGTAAGAAAGAGATTACAACAGTAGGTCAGAGGCTTGAAGAGTGGCACATGAACAAAACCACCTGTTTCGGTTTGGATGCCTGATCAGTATTCCAGCCCTCACACAAATCCAATGATCTGTGTGACGCATCTATACTTGCTGCCTCCTTGATTAGGGTGTAAACTAATAAATAAATCGATCGGACTATGACCTAATTGGCGACGAAGTTATGCTTACAAGCAGAGGTGATTGTGGCTAGCAGTGAGATCCAATACACGCGTTTCATACTGTCTGGGTTCTGTCAGCTGGATATACCTGCATTCCAGAGTTGATGTTCACTCTGGTACTCGAGCATACTACCGTCTGCTTGGAGCACCATCGGGTCATCCATTTAGCTACTGAGTTAGGATAGCCGCTCATTTGTGCAATGGGGTGACGTTTAATTCATAGAATACAAGTATACCCATGTGATGAGTCCTAAATAAAACGTAACGCACGTTCTGGATTCCACTGTTAACTACTATCCATTTTTGCTTATAATGCTTGTAGCTTAAGGTAATATTGGAGATGGTCATATACTACTAAGAGACTGATCAATTCAAATTGTAAGCATCAATGAGAAGACTGAAACAACCAATTCCAAGATGAATTAACGTTATATTTATATTTGACTACAATTCGATCAGGTTGATTATTTGTCTATTCAATGTACTTTTTAATAATCATATATATATATTTGTTTAACTCAATTGATTCTTTTGTCTAGATCATATTGTCTCTTGATTAGGATTTAGTTCATCAATGTTAATTATTCATTTGTAAATCTGTGTAGTTGTATGTCATATTATCTCAGACTGAATAGTTTTGATAGTTTTTAAGCATTCACTTAGTTGATTGGCTTAATTACAAATCGTTCTTTGTTGTTCAGAACAACTTGATCAGAGTCATACAGACGTTTGTGATAATCAAATGATCCAACTTATCGAAAGTAACATCACCTAAACACATTCATTACAACCTTAATAGCCTTTCGATTATTTTATAGAGTGAAAATGGAAATAGTGATGATCTGTTGTTTTGTTGTACTTCAAAAACTCTTCAGTGATACAAAGCGTATTCAAACCATCAGGTGTTTAAATCATGAAATGATCAAGTTACGCATGTTTCACCAGGTAATTAAAACAAACCAGAGGGACACAGTTGTTTCCATTCAATTTTCAATATGTATATGTAAGTATATCAAGTACTCATGCAGTAAAGCCACTGAACTAATAACTAATCATAATTATTATACTGATCGGTCTATAAACTAAATGGTGTATCTTGTCGTAATTATGTATAGAAAGGACTATTTTGACACCGACTAGTGTAACCATTTCATAATTATCTGGAAAAGTTGATAAAGTTTTGTCTATATGATGCATCTTTTCATCGTGTAATAAATGCGTAGTGAACGAGAACACCAGTGAGGACAACTAAATTTATTTGAGTAAAACATTACAGAATCTCTTAGTAAAATCTGAGAACCATACAGTAAATACTTCAGTTGCAAAGTGTCAATTAATCGTTTCAGACTTGATTGTTCCTTCGTTTCTACACCAATCATTCTCTGTTTTCATTCTCTTTGATCTTCTTAACCTTCTACCATCAGGCATTTCACTTTCGATTGATGATACATACTACTTATATCTGTCGACATCAGAACGCACCACAAATCTTCAGAGAACAGAAAAACTATAAGAAGATATACGAACCATAATGTTAGTGATTTGTTATTAGATTGAATAAGTAAACATTAATAACAGATGTAAACACACATATTGATAAGAAAAAAAGTAACTTGAAACTCATGTTGATAGTTCTTTATCAAGTATACACTTTTTTATATAATTGTCTTTGAGTAACACTTTCATTGTATCAGAACTATCAATGATACTACTGATTTACTACTGAAATCAAAGGCAATGGTGAATAGAACATGAATACCTGATTGATTGATTGATTGATGGATGGATGAACTGTGCAAGTATTAAAATAAACCCTCATATTTGAAATTTGTTATTGAATTGAATATGAATATAAGTGCTAACTGTATGTACTAATGCGGTGTTGTGTGAATAGCTTACACAATTTATCACGTTACTTCAATACTGGAAATGTTGCATCAAGCTAATCCAGTTGTTCGTATAATGTTCTCTTTATTATTATTATTCTTTTGATAAGTAAAAAGGAACAAAGACAAGTATATTGGAATTCATGTATTGAAAATCTGATGAGAAAAGTGTTTGCAGCATCTGAACTGATCGACAATTTTCATCATTAAAGATGAATCGACAGGTCCAGGCTACTGAAGTTTATCGTAATATTACACAACTAATGCTGACAATTTGTTACCGATGCACAATTTATAGTAGAGAATATTGTCATTATGATCATAGAAGTCAGAATAGTTTAACGATCTGTCTGCAGTGCATCACTGAACGTAGCAGTTCTAACAAAGGAACTATTTGATACTGAAAAATAGTCAGCAAATATTTTTCTCAATAGTTGAAATCATGAGTCAATTGAATCTAGAACACCATGGAAAACGTAGAAGCAATCGACGACCGTTTCGTCCTTGTACGGGACTCCTGAGCAGTGCGCATCCGCGACCCCACCCCGCTAGATTCGAACCCAGGACCTATCAGTCTCGCGCGCGAACGTCTAACTAACGATGTTAATGTCTTAATTCAATCAATCAACGAAATTGCACCACCGTCACCATTGCCCTCAGTGAGTTGATGCGAACTGCTTAGTAGTTTTATAATAGGACGAAACGGCCGTCCAGTGCTTCTAGGTTTTCCATGGTGGTCTAGCTTCAATCGACTCATCATTTCAATTATTGAAGTTACGAAAATCTTCACAAAACCCCTTCTGCAAAAATATTTCTTTGATTCGTGCACTAAGCTATGTTAGATAAGCATTGGAAACCTGGAATCTCTTAACAACCATATCGTCCTTGTTTGTTACTCGTCAGCAGTGCGATTCCAAAACCTCATAGATGATAGGGTCAACGATTTTCAGGTCTCATTGATAACTTCGTAAAGCAGTCCGGGATTTCTTGTGACAAGCTGGAACAAGCGGATTTCAACTTTATGGGATGTATGACAGCTATTAACAATGGATGAAGGTATTCGTTATCGCTCACTTATTGAAATTACACATATAAACCATTGGACGCTGGTTTATAGGTGAAGTTCTTTCCGAGAGACTTTAAGATCTTGAGTTCGGTCGTCCGTAACTCTTGTTCATAAATGAATACTGCTGTGGAGTCCAATATTAAGATAAAATAACCGTCCATAGCTTCAATATTAATCTAACGTAAGTCAGTTCGTCATCTCAATGATGTCCAACAATCTCAACGACCTCTATCATATTTCTTCAAATGATTATAGGATATCATTACAATTGTTAATTTAGAGTTTTGTGAAATTTTTTGGGTTTAAATTACTCACATCAAGAATCGATAGTAGTTCAACTATCATTGAAAACCGCGAAGCAACGGAAAGCTGTTTCGTACAAGAATGACACTCTTTGGCAATGGGCACTCATGCTAGTGGGATGTAGGGTGAGCGCTTCTCTCTATTTGAGACTCATCAGCTGTGTGTACCTGCATTTCAGTTTGTTATGTACATTAGACTCAAACCCAGTACTTTTCTTAATAATAGTCAATCGTTTGCCGATTAAGCTACTAAATTATTGAACAGAAATAAAGTTATCAGTAAGGGTTTGTAAACTCCTGTTGTTGGTATTCAGTACTAGAACTGATCATTCTGTGTCACTATATGAACTTACTGTGGAGATTATCTTGTCAATATCGACTTGTTTGTGTTGTTTTTGTAGTTTGGTTGGCTTAATTCATAGAGTGTTACTAAATTTGATAACATTACTAACTTTATCAGCAATTTTCGTCTCAGATTAATCATATTTGGGCTAGAATTGAAAATCATGCATTGAAAGACAACTGTTTCGTACTAGTCTAAGATTTCTCAGGAGTGCATACTCACAACCCTAAACCCAGAGATGTAATCCCAGCCCAGCAGTTATCATGACGAATGTACAACCGTTAGGATCATTGGTATATGTATCAAACACCAATCAATTTACAATTTGGCACTATTGTCCTCCAACAGCATTAGTCACATCTTCTGACTAGGACTCATCAAAAATTAAATCACTACTGAGC